AAATTGTTCATTTGAGACACTGAGTGAATGGCCTTGTTTTGTTTATTCATCTGTTAATGCTTTATTTTTGTTTCAAATTTGTTATAACTTATTGTTTCCAACTTAAGTTTTTCCTTTTGTATTGTATTCCGTAGAGAATCTGGGGTTTTGCTTGAATATATAATTTTATTCAAATTTGGACAGACGTTTTAATTCAAACGCGTGGTTTTATTCATTTTCAAACACGTGTTTGTAACTTCAACACGTGGTTTTATTATATGCGTGTAACAAGTGTTAACTGTTGATCGGACAAATCTAAAACTAAGAACTTTTAATTCAAAACATGAAATTTTTTATTTAGAATATCAAAATTATTAATGTGGTAATATTTATTAATGCAACAATATTTGTTTTGTGAAACTGCAAACATACTGGACATTCCTACTGACCCAAGCAGCATTCATCGTTAAACTTTCATATTTTTTTAAAACTTCCCCAAGAATCAAAACAGATTTTGGATCAATTTAACTGAGAACTCCGTGTGGGGTTACAGTCTATTTTTAATATTTTTTTGATGAGAATGGTATGGGTGAATTGGGCATCGTGGCTGATTTGGTACCATCATGTTTTTGTCTTCAGCCGCGGCTATTATAACTTTTCAAAACATGTTGTTACCAGCAGAAGATATCTACAAAAATCATTTGGGACTGGGAGCATAAACTAATCAGCGTTCTATGTACGGTGATGCAGTTACCATCGATGTGGGCTCTCAGAAGAAATGCAATAGACAACATCTTGTTGAAATAGGTTTAATGTTTAAAAATTCCAGTGATTCGCCACAGAATAAAGCCAGGTTGATAGCGGTAAAGAGCGAAATGGATTTAGAATGGCTGGGAACAATACCACCGCCTGTGTTACAAGGCTAGACGCTACGTCCATCAGATTGAGTTTGGGTTTGAGGCTTGGTTTGCCAATCGTTTCTAAATATATATGCTTAAGTAGATCGAATGTTTGTCCGCTTGGTTATCACTGTCTCTTATGTAAGCTTGACTCAGGCAGGCAAGCTCGTCACCTTGCCATGAATAATTATTTGTTTCGTTTGTTTCAGAAAGCAAATATCCCCGCCATCAAGGGCCCGGCCGGTTTTATACCTGATAATAATTTTAGACCGGATGGTTCTAGTGTCTCAGAAACTTCGTCTGACCTGGAACGTTACGTTTCTTCACACATTGACAAGAAATATATTAATTACACATCCATAGAATCAGGATCGGCTGTTTTAAAAGAGGCTGATTTTAAAAATAAAAAATATAAAAACTTGACTAATTATACAAAAATTTTTATCAATGTCTGCATTGAAGCATCCGGCCCAGTTGACAAGAACACAATTTACTGACACTGTTGGCGCCAAAATCGTTAAAATTTTGGGCATAACTGATATTAAAAAAAATATTTTAATATTTTTACAAAAATTTATTTTTTTGTATTCTTGAAAATGTTGCCAAATACCCTTTTTGTCCAAGATTCAAAAACCAAATTTAAATAGCTCGAGCAGGAAAAAAATTAACAGTTATATAGCCGAACATTGGAGAAACACTAACCCCTCTGTAAGTATATGATCCAAGAGTATATATCATACCAACTGTGCGAAAATTTTCTACAACGTTTTCATCTTTCCAGATGTTCAGTCCATGTTCATTAAGTATTTCATTACTTTTCTTTTTTTCGCTGCTTGTCATCAAACTATATCTCACTTGAGTCAACAACTTTTCTGCATGTTGTCTTCTCGATCTGTCAGCAGATATCCAACGTATAACGAAATTGAAGATATCAAATTCGCTCTCCGCATTGAAAAAATCCGATTCAAGCAGGTAGCAAACGTCATCTGGCGCCAACGTTAATAAGTCGGATTTCGATTCGATTTTACTGAAATTTTCTAAAACAAACTCACGAACTTTTTTAATAACCTCACTCAACATGTAATTAGATGACCACTTTAAAAGATCTGCATATGTTGATTCGTTTAAATGATTTGACAGCAAATCCTTGTAAATATCACTCATGCTACAAATTTGTAAATACGATGCTCCTATCAACCCTTCTTTTATGGTTTCCAATGATTTCGTCATCGTAGGTTGTAAAACGACATCCTTTTTATCACTTTGCAATGTTGACAAAAATTCACGAATTTCGTTCAGACTCTCATCAGACAATTCTCCCAATGTAAGTCCCTCGTCGTGCGCGTCTCTCATTCCACTGTTCACGAGCCCCTCGTAATATCTGCTCGTTCGAAATAATAAACCTCCATCAACTTCGTAACGTCCGCCGGTCATTGAAATTAACACTACTTTCCTTAAATCATCAAAATAGTCTGCTTTCTTTACGTCCATTTCAATTCTTTCGTCCATTTTGTTTCTATAGCTTTAATCCGTTTTCAAATCACAATATTGGATTGTTTTTAAAAACTATAAAACCTAGTATCCGCACTGTTCGATCAAAATTTTGAAGCAAATATTGAGATTGTAACACGTGGCGTTTCCTCATTTACATAGGTTTTTACAACGAGTGCGTAATATAAAAAATTGAATTATCTTTGGTGCTGTCCAAAAATAAGATATAAATTTAGGACCAAAAATGACTCGTATTTCTAGAAATAGGCAAACTAGATATATTTAGAATTACTTTTGGTCGCGGTGTTAGGAAGCTTTGAACTTTTAATCTTTACCTTGAAAGTGCCACTTATTGAGACAATTCGGCAGTTGCTGAGATATGACGGCAAATATTTTGAAGTCAATATGTATGTAGAGATGTTTTCTTGAATAAACGTTGACCATAAAAAATTATCCGTTGATGAATCTGTAGGCCAAATATAATTTTTATAGTGTGTGAAAAGATAATTAATTAATATTATGTTTACATTCAACTGATTGTCATATTTTAAATTGTTTAAGTTCAAATCTGCTGTTTTTTTAGCACAGTCATGTTGTGGCACCATTTATTTTTATTATTATTCTTTAAAAAATCAAGATCTGATAGACGCAGAAACTGTAACAACATGCAAGGCAGTAGAACAAAATTAAACAAATAAGTGAGAAAATAGATACAAAAAGTGAGGAAGAAAAATGATAAAACATGAAAGATAAAATATGTTAGAATAAAATAAATAATAATCACAAAAGAAAAGTAATTGACAATGGCATATAAAATGAAGTAACGGCAAATTAATAGGCTAGATGATGACTTAGTGAGATGATCGATAAATAAAGGATAGACCAGTGAGTGAAAATGTTTTAATGAGTATCAATTAGTTTGATGACTTATTAATAGACTAGATGATGACTAAGTGAGTTAGTGAGATGATCGATAAATTAAAGATAGATCTGTGAGTGATAAAGTTTTAATGGGAAGTAATACATTTGATGGTGAGTTAGTTGGTGAGGTGATCGATAAATAAAAACTAGTTCTGTAACGATAAAGTTTTATTAAGTGCTAATATGTTTGAGGTGCCTTGTGATGAAGGTCTTTTCCTGATATGTTGATTGGGTGGCGACTTGATAGTTATGTTTGCGCTGACGAAGCTTGTGTGTTGTTGTTTTGATTAGTGGTAGTAAATATACTTCAGATAACTTCTCTTCTGATAACGTTTTTTACTTTACAGAAATACAGTTGATGAATAATTTGACAATATGACATTGGCTGTTTTTCTTATAAAAGTCATGTTTGAAAGTTCAAAAAATAACTTTACAGCGTTGAAGATTTTACTTGTGAACTTTTATGAAAATTGTCAAAAATAAATTTAACAATGTTCTTTTTTAAGTAAAGCAGTGGGTAACTTTTTGCAAACATACGGATTTCGATACTATGTTCTGTTGGTGACTGATGATTATAAATAAATAAATATAAATATATAATGGACTTAAACGTAAGTTATATATGCCCATATCAAAATAGCATTGAAAGACAACAAAAAGCAATCAAACAATGTCAATTTTAAGATCATTGAGAAAATCTTTGTTGGCCATATATACGTCAAAATAACTCTTGAAGTTGGAAACAGTATCTGATTCAACAACGCATGTCTGTAAATTGTTCCAAATAGAAATTGCTCTGTTAGAAAACAAATACTTCCTTGTATTTGTATGGAACTTTTGAACATGTATTCTATAGCGATGCCCTCTCATTATATAATGTATGTATGTTTTTTGTTGTATTAAAGTTGTAAAATATAAATATGTATGTATATATATATATATATATATGTTGGTAATAGACCATAATTTTTACAATATTCTATAAATTCTACCAAATGTTTGGCGTTAATATGTTTGTAGTTCGTTTTTTCGATTTAGTAAACGTTTAGTTTAGTAAACTAAACGTTCACCAAAAAACTTTAGTTATATATATACAAATTTCGTTGAATATGTTTGCCCATTGTGCATTTATTAATTTCTTTGATATTGAATTGTTGCAATTCATCGTGTTGATTCAATTTCAAAGAAATTCTGTTCGTCAGAAATACTGAAGCGACAGGAACAAGAAATAAAAGTTACGATTTGAAAATAAAACATGGTTGGTAATATTTAAAATTGTGTTTTAATAAAAACAAAATTTATTTATAACGGAAAGATTTAAAAGAAATTGTGTTTCAATTGTTTAGCTAAATTTCATTTCTTAATAAACATCTAAAGTTCCTATAATTTTATTTCTGCAGATAAAAAAAATTTCAGAAAATTAAACTGAAATAAATTGCTATGTAAAAAAATAATTAACGCTTAATGAGTGATAGAATAAAAAACAAACATTAATTTATAAGTAAATATTCTTTCTCTCAAGTAAATGAAAAGCATCTCGAACTAATGTGAGAATTGTGAAAATTTTTACCATAAATGGCGTAAGATTAAAAAAAAGTAGAAAGTTAAAATATGATGCTACAAAAATTGGCAAAATGAATCAGATTGATGTTATTGTGACCTCGTTCAAACGTCCGACATGGTCATGATACCAACATATTGACAATGAAGGGGTGCTATGTTATTCTTAGGTTCATATCTCAAAATTTGGCAGTCGTCATCAGCGTGGGCATAAGGAGAATTCTGTTCCTTTGATTCATTCGTCACTAGATTAAAATTATTTGCACTTTTTTCTTGCGCCGATGATAACCTTGAATCTTTTGACGTATTCTTGCCTTTCAAGTACTTGGCCAGATTAATTATTTGAATATAGACAGTAGTTGATTGTGATGGATGGTGAATCAGAAACAGGCCTCTTCAGCTTCAACACAGATGACCACTGACCATTCTCCACATCGTACATCTCTCCGTCCTTTGTTGATTGAATTCTTTTTAAAAATTTAAAAAGTTCAAAATGTTTAGAATAAAACGTCACAATTTTAAATTTTGTCCATGAAATTAAAACATGTCAAATAGCTCAATTAATTTCTTACAAATGAATGACAACAAATTTAGAAGAAGTGATAAAGACAAAACTAAGCATCCTAACCATTGCTTTTTCTTTAAAATAATGCGCAGGTGACACTGTTTCACATCCAACGACAAAAATCTTACTTCCCGTGCATGTCATGACGTGGGAATGACGTGCCGTCAACATGGAAGCTTTCGAGAACCATTTGTTTCAAAAAGGGTCATACTGGTACACCAGATTCCGTACAACGTATCTTTCATCATATACCCTCACTAACATATATCGTACCATTGCACACACAACCTGTTAACAGGTGAGTATTTATGTATGAATGAACTCTGTGTATAGTTAACTTTTTTTCTGAGCCATGATTTTAAATTATGATTATTGAAAAGTTAACTAAATTTCGAGCAACAATTTTGGGTAAAATTTGAAATAGATACTACCAGTATATGATATAATATATATATATATATATATATATATATATACTGAAAATAAATTATTAAAATTAAAATAAATTAATCAAACCTGCAAGATGTGTTAGAGCAAGAGGTAAAAGTTCCACCATGTGCCATCGGTTTTCACTCGGTATGTATTTTTCGACTGTTGGAGTTCGGACAAAAATAATATAAATTAGAATCTCATATAAACACGTTAATAAAACTAAGAACTTTTTATATAAAAAATTAAATGGATTTCCCACCTTGCTTTCAGTTGGTCCTACAGCTAACATACCAACTGTACGGGAAATATTTGAATCTTTATTTTTATTATAGCTGATATTTAAATTCATATCGTGAAGTGTGGCGGTACATTTCTGTATCTCAATGTTTGACACCAGACTGTACCTCATTTACTGTAACACAGTAAATGAGGTACAGTAAACACCACTTCTTTTTTGGCGAACAAGGGTGGGCCGTAGTTTACCCACACCTGTTGTATAATAAGGTTGTTCATTCATTTTGGTTTTTTCTTTATTTGTAAACATATTTATATGTTTGTGTGTGTGTATGTTTGTTTTAGTGTTTGTGTGTTATTATGTTTTATCATATCATGAGAGACTGTAACACACCAACTCCTTTCAAATCTTTGTACCATTCGTCTAATCTAATTTATCATTTTAGTTTTGTTTAGCTTAGTTGAATGTTAACTTAATCATATATTTAATCAATGACAATTGAATTGTGTTGTATTGTATTGTTAGGCATCTGATGCCTCATCAAACATCTTAACATTTCAGTAGTGTACAAAAAATAATATAAAAATTTATATAGCGCCAATTTGTTGAGTTGTTTGAGATGCACCCAGAGAATGTGCAAAAAATGACAAGTATTCATTTTGTTTCGAAATGACATTTTTTCAGCTCAAGAAACAACACACCCCAGGCATCCGTAATTTAGTTATTCAAAAGGATGTTCAATACAGCTTTTCCAGGTCGTGTTTACAATGTGTTAATGGAAAGATACATAATCAAATTCAATGTATGCTTGGCATAGTTTCTTCTGCTTTCACAAATGTTAATGTGGTATTGCTCAACTTCACATCTAAACATATTTAAAAAGTAATTGATTTAATTCTTGTTACTTAATAAAATAATGTTTTAAAATAATTTTATTATACGTAGGTTATTTAAAAAATAAAAAATACTTACCATGCCAATTCTTTTATTAGATCTACCAGGATGAGTTATTATGGCCTGAGCTGCACTGAATAATTGTCATCCTGAAAAAGCATCAACTGAGCCTTGATCCTGTATATCTTCATTTACATCATCTTCATCAGAATTCATACCGTCGGAAGGTGGACTGATAAAGATATCAGCTTCCATGACAGTGTCATCATCAAATATCATGGTTATGACCTCTTGCAAAGAATAAATCCTCTCAGAATTTTTTTGGCACGACCTAAAATATATATTTTTTCATGCTAACAGCTAACTTAAATATTGTCAAGATATCCTGCTAGCATCCTTTATAAAGGACACAAGCTTCCAAGAGATTTTTAAAGAAATAATCAGAAATTAAAAAAATTTATTTGCAACATTTTATTTAGCACACATTTTTCTATAAAATTAATCTAAATTATTGAAGTTTAGGGCAAAACTTGAGTTTCAGACCTATGTTGTTTGTTTACATTCACTATCTCTAATTAGAGAGTAAAATAAGATCCTCCTACTGAAATTCGAAAAGTGGATTGAGATTAAAATAGATGCATGTATAGATAGGTAGATTTATTATTTTCAACGTTATTTAACTTAATTTTCTTTTTTCAATTTAATTATTCTTATTTAGTTATAATTTATTTATATATTATTATTATAATTTGTACGTAAAATTTAGTAAATTAAACCTTCTAAATTGTTTCAAACACTAAGCAACATATATTCAATATAAAATTAATAATAATTATAAAATAATAATAATTCAACAAATTACAAAAAGAACAAAAATTTCTTGGATAGCATATAAAAAAAAAAAAAATGAAGAAATTTATTATTACACAAAGTAAAACAAAAATTGCAAAAATTAGTAAATAAAACTGTTTAAATTGTTTAAAACACTGGGCAACATATAATCAATATAAAATTAATAATAATAATTAATAATAATTCAAATTATTTAACAAATATTGTGTTTTTGGCATATGTGCCAAATAATATTACCGAATGGTAGGTGGCCATACCGTTTGCGCCACATAAATTCTGCCAAGTAAGTGTGCCTGAGGAACCTCGATGTACCGTACATTACTTTAAATTTGGCTTTCAATCGTGCCCACATGGATTCAACATTTTGGATGTGTGCTCGTGTCACTGGGTCAACAAAATTTTGACATGGAAAAATCTTATTTGATTAATTTAAATGAAAATAGAAAGACGAGCCGCGGTGAAACCCGCCGGAAAAGCCAGTCAACTGGCAAAAAGGAACCGCAAAGAAACCGTAAAACGTACCCCAGCCAGTCGTGCATTCTTTGCCACTGAATGAATGAACGTAGCGTGACATCACAACCAGTCTGATCGTCCACGATTAACTCCTCTGGAAGCTTCAACCTGAATGAATGAACCTGAAAAAACCTAGATGAATGGAAAAATCTTATTCAATTTAAATGACTAACTCTATATAACTCTATATAACTCTATATAACTCTATATAACTCTATATAACTCTATATAACTCTATATAACTCTATATAACTCTATATAACTCTATATAACTCTATATAACTCTATATAACTCTATATAACTCTATATAACTCTATATAACTCTATATAACTCTATATAACTCTATATAACTCTATATAACTCTATATAACTCTATATAACTCTATATAACTCTATATAACTCTATATAACTCTATATAACTCTATATAACTCTATATAACTCTATATAACTCTATATAACCATACATACTACCACATTCAATCAATAAAAATACCACTAAAACCAGGAACCACCGCGTACCTATTGAATGTATGTTGTGAAACAAAACAAAAAAAAACACAAAACAAAAAACAAAAAACACACCACCAAGTAAAGTAAAAGAATAGAAGTCCCTAACCTACCTATGTAACTAAATTACCTTATGCCCTAGCCTACCTATATAATAAATTAATTTTTAATCTCACCTACCTATGTTTCATTAACTTAAGACTCATGAAGAAAAAGAAAAAAGAGTAAAACAGAACATAAAATACTACCACACAAACAAACATGATGTATGTATGTATGAGCAACCGCTAAAGAACCCACCTAAAATATAAAAATATACAACATGCAAACTCTATATAACTCTATATAATTCTATATAACTCTATATAACTCTATATAACTCTATATAACTCTATATAACTCTATATAACTCTATATAACTCTATATAATAAAATAAATAAAAAAATTATAAAAATAAAATAAATGAGATCAGAGAGACCGCTCTAAGCAAGGCAGAATGCCTGATCTGATTTTAATTTTGTCTCAGCTCCTATTTATACTCGTTTCAACCATACATTTTCATCATTCCAATCATTCACATAAGTAAAAAACTTATTTAATGTAGGTACTAGACTATTAAGCAGTCATAAACACAATGCTAACCGTACTAAATTGTCGTCATCGAACGAACGCCTTCGAAACTTTCTGATTGGCTGGTTGAATCTGCTGTATTGCTTTTTATATAAACATATAATCCTATTAATTATTTGTATACATGGATTCTAGTCACTTGTATGTGTGGGCTGCCAACATTAAGAGGTATTCCAGTGACATCTAGTAGAGTATTAAGTAGGATGGGTAGAAACATTTGAGTTACTACCACTAATAAAATACTTTTTTTTAAATTATTACATGGATACATAAGTAGTAGCATTTATTGTGTGTGTGTGTGTGTGTGTGTGTGTTTGTGTGTGTGTGTGTGTGTGTGTGTGTGTAGATGAAATTATTTTTCCTTGACCTTTCTGTCAATCACATCTGGAGTACTGGCAGAAGAGATGCTACGATGAAAGGAAGAAAGGAGCAGTTCTGAAGCAGTGAGTTTGTTTTTGCTTCTCTCTCTCTCTCTCTCTCTTTCTCTCTCTCTCTCTCTCTTTCTCTCTCTCTCTCTCTTTTTCTCTCTCTGTATATTTGTATATGTCTGTATGTGTTGGTTTGTCTGTGTCTGTTTATCTATTTGTCTATGTTGTGTCTATGTAGATGTCTACATTACGTCTGTTTGTTTGTGTTTGTTCTTGTTTGTTGTGTTTATTTTTGTATTTGTGTGTCTATATATTTGTGTGTGTGTGTGTGTTTTTATAGTTATTCATTATTATGTGTGTGTGTGTGTTATGTGTGTGTGTGTGTGTATTTGTCTACGTATGTCATTTGGCATTAGATTTTTGTACCAAAGTGAACTTGCACCGTTCTTGTATATATTGTATGTGTAATGATTGTTGCGATTAACATGTGGCAATCGTGCAACTATATTAATTTAATTATAACTATATTGTGGTAATTTTATTATGATTGTGCCATAATTTTGTGATATTTATGCGATAATTTCTTTAACGCAGGGAGTGTGACGTCATCAGCACAAAGTTGCAGGACATGCTGAAGAAGTTTGAACCATTGAGGAGGGTTAGGCGATGATGGTAATGATAATGATGATGTGAGAATGATGATGATGATGATGATGTGGGAATTATGATGATGATGATGACGATGATGTGAGAATGATGATGATGACGATGATGTGAGAATGATGATGATGACGATGATGTGAGAATGATGATGATGACGATGTGAGATTTATAATGACGATGATGTGAGAATGATGATGATAATGATGTGAGAAGGATGAGAATGATAATGTAAAAATGATGATGATGATGATGATAATGTGAGATGATGACGATGGTGATAATGATGACGACGACGATGATGACGATGATGACAATGTGAGAATGATGATAAGGACGATGATTATGATGTAACGAGGACGACGACGATGATGATGATGATGACGTGACGATGACGTAAAGAGAAGTACGTGATGATGACGACGACGATGATGAACGCCATTCACAGGCAAAGGAAAGTTTAGAGAGGAGGTGCGAGTCCAGCGAGGCTGAGGTAGAAAGGTTGAAGCTACTCATTTCATCGCTTAACGTTCGTTCTGTCTTTACATATTTTGGGATGATGATGATGATGATAATAATAATAATAATCGTAATAATAATAAAAATCATAATAATGACAATAATACGAACAGACAGACAGACAGACAAGCAAACAGACGGACAGACAATCAATTCAATCCATCCAGTTTTAATTCATATAATATATGTAAAACTGGCAGAAGATCATATACATATTATCTCGTTAAATGCTTTCAAGTGAAAGCGAATATGAAAAAAATAATAACAATAACAAATATAATATTATATAATAATAATAATAATATTTTATTTTTATATAATATTTTTCATTATTATTTTATTATTATTATTATTATTATTTATCATTGTTGCATGTTCACGTAATTAATAATGATTTATTAGTTATTAATTATTATATTCATAATAATGGTGGTGATAAATAATAATAATAATAAAAACTGGAAAAGTGACCCTGATATAGAATGTAAACTCTTTTATTATTCAGAGAAAACCAGTAAAATCAAAAATAGTCAAAATAAAATATGTCAATAAAATGTTAAAATTAAATATTGTATAACGTAAGATAATTATAAGATAAATAAATAAATAATAATAATAATAAATCAAAAATGATTTAGGTAAAGAAAAACAAAAAAAAAATTATAAAAGCGTATTCTACGTAGCTCGTCATTCAGTGAAAGAAACACGAAATGAGTACAACGAGAACAGATTAGTTCTACATTGATTCATTCCGTCAAATTTCTATCACAATAAACAGCGTATGATGAGGATATCGCAGAGTTAATAAGACTATTATAAAATTGATCAGACCAAATAATGTCGACCAGCGACAAATCGAAACAATTGAAAAAACCTAGCGGCGAAATTTCGAACGTGTTGATTATTATTTTTAAATGTTTTAAATTGTCAAGTAAATTGTTATGGAGGTTATTAGAATATTTGTCCATTTTATATTGTTTTGAATTGAAAAAATTAGACTCATGGCAGACGGTGAGCTCCAATATTTCAATTGTGTTGTCACGGAGTAGTGCGATGTCGGGACGAAGTGATTTGAAGAGACACGACAGTGGGCGGATCCCATCATAAACGACGTCTGCATACATCGCAACCTCT